TCCATGTCCTCAAAGTCCACCGCTAGTGACACACTTCCTCTTACATGGCCACACCTCATAATTCTTCTAATCCTTTCAAATAATGCCACTCCCTGGTGAGTAAACATTCAAATATTCTTATTAGAACACCCACAGGAATAATCAATGATACCATCTGGAATAAAGTGACACAGCACTGACACTAGATTTCTCCCAAATGGACGAGGTTGTGTTGAGTATTTGAGCCTCTTTTCTCTTTTTAACCTGTCTCATTCACAGGTCTTCCAAATCCTATCAGATTTGCATGAAAAGTTAATATATAAACAAGTACAGAAATACTTTTCATCTATATGCAGTAATTTACATTAGTAAAAAGTGCAAAGATTTTATATAATTTACATAGATGAAATAAATTGAACCTGGATTTTTATAAGTTTTAGAAATTTTTCTCAAGCACACTTTTTCACTAATTAGATTTTTTTTATTATATTTTGAGTTAATTATAAATTCATGTGTCATTATAAAATGTACTTGGAGATGCCACTTATCGTTCTGCTGGTTTCACCTGATTGAAACTGTAGTGCAAGAGCTGGTGAGAAGCCTCCATGGGTAGAGGGTCTGACAACGGTAATGACCTGAGCTCTGCCTCTGGCCCCTGTGATGGAAGGAGAGAACTGACTCCTGCAAGTTGCCATGGTATCTACATTTCCTTATCCACACATGGGTAGATATATAAATAAAAAATAAACACATGAAACTGAAATGGTTTAAATATTAAACCAAACATATTTTTAGAACTCAAATATGAGAATCCAGGGTAATGAGGAACACGGAGTAAAGACAGGGAACGTTTCTTTCCCCACTAAGAACACACAAATTGCTACCCAAAGACAGAGAAGCATTTGTGTTTTTCTCCTCATGCCGGACGAATTCTTACTCTGTCTTTCCTTCATTTACCTTTCTTATTTACATAATGCTATGTAAACAGAAGCATGTGCTCAGTAAACTGAGGATCGCCTTTTTAAACTCATTGTAACCCATGATTGTATATATCAAGTCTTTTTTCTTTAAATAAATATGAGTTGTATAGTATTATAAGGGTCTACAACAATTTCACCAAAGAAAATATCATCTGGGTTATTTGCGCTAATAAATTCTGTTTTGCCAAGGACCTTGAACTCTGTATTCTCCTTCCTCTATCTGCCAGGTTCTAGATTATAGACATATACCACCATGCTTCATTTAGGTAGCTGGTTATCAGATACCAGATTTTTCTGTATGCTGGCAGAGCACTCTCTTAACTAACTTAATTGTATTCATCTTCTTCAAGTAATAATTTAAAATGAGAGTACATAATTTCAAGGCAATCCTAGGCAACATAGTGAGACCTATGTAAATACTTAATAAGTAGATAGGTAAATAAGTAAGTAAGTAAGTAAGTAAGTAAGTAAATAAATAAATAAATAAATAAATAAACAGGCAAATAGAAAAGTAAAGACTGTTATAATTATATTCAAAATAGCTCTTTATGAACCTAACTTTCATGTCACTGAAAAATTACCATGGTATGAACCTGCTGGGTTTGATAGTAGCACAAGTTTAATTCATATAGACACCAGCATCAATATACAAAAATCATCAAGACAAGCTCTACCCTCCTACACAATCCTAGCAAAAATACTGGGGTGAGCTCATTTTTCTTTGTGCTTTCTTTCATTTGGGGCTAGCACTGTTTAATTTTTCAGTTGATCCACTTTTATAGGTATGTTAGCTGATGTTAGCCATGGTTTTAAGTAGGTTCTACGTGGATAGCATCTCTCATGAGTTTCTTTTTGGGTGTAGGTCCCATTTCTTTTCATATATGTTTTCTCTGTGTTTCAAGTTTTTTCACTTTTAGAATCCTCATGTGGTTCTATTAGTTACTTTCCTGTTGCTGTCATAAAACTGATGGAAAAAACATATTTATTTGGCTATGGTTTCAGAAGGATTAGTTTTCTCATGGTCAGGAAGCATGGCAGCAGGCATTAGGCAAGGCGCTTTAAGCAGGAAGCTAAAAGACACAACTTAAATTTCAGCACAGAGCAGAGAGAAGAAACTGATGTGAGACTAAGTTATAGATCCTCAAATCCCGCCCCCAGGTGACATATTTCTTCTTGGGAGGCTACACCTTCTAAACTGCTCCAAACAGCACCCATTCGGCACTGACTGTTCCGATGCCTGAGCCTGTGGGGGCCTTGCTTACTCAAACAACCACCTGCCTCCTCCCTTAAACGTGTTGCTGCAGGCATTTCTCACAGGTTTTAGCTCGAAATTTTATGATCACAACTTTTCATAGAACAACAGTTTTCAACTTCATAAGCTTCGCCACTAGTGTACAGTCTAAGGATTTCTCCCTAGTCTTAGACCCTAGATTCGATTTGGGGCAATTTTCCTGTTTCTTCACTCAATACATGTACATGTATCTTTGGGTTCATCCTGAATTTCCATAATAGATGAAAATGAGGTTAGTGTGAATGATATTTTTATTTTATTATTTTCCTTTTCTTTTTTTCTTCTTTCCTTTCCCTTCTCCCCATCTCCTGTTCTTCTTTTCTGATTAAAGAGTTTTATTACACGTTATGTATGTATTTTATGTGTGTTTGAAAGCACATCAGTGTAGATGACCTACACACATGGAGGTCAGAGCAAAACCGGTGTGAGTCAGTTCCCTTCTCTTTTTTCATGGGTCCTGGGGCTCAAATTCAGATCATTAGGCTTGGTGGCAGGCGCCTTAAGCACTAAACTATCTTGCAGGTCCTTATTTACTTTCTGCCTGTGGATATCTAATCACTCCAGCACCATTGGTTGAAAAGACTATAATTTACTCATTGAGCTGTGTTTCAATGTTTACTATGTTGACAGTTCTAGTCTGATTGCAATGGCTGCTACCACATGCTAACATACTAACCTTCAGTGGGTAAACAGCATGCATCAGTGGATAAAGGCATTTACCACCAAACCTGAATTCACTATTTGTGTCCTACATGATAGAAAGAAAGAAGCAATTCCCTTATACCACGTATGTACCATAATACACACACACACACACACACACACACACACACACACACACACACACACA